AAAAATTTTCCGCTCCTTAGGGGGGCGGCAGCTTCAAAAAGGTTGAGAATCACTGCTCTAGGTCTTGTTACTTAAGAAGTATTTGATCCTGTAATTCCTGAGAAAGTGGGCCATTGTCGTTTAGATCGAGGGGTTTCAAACTTTTTCAAGCCACAGAACTTGTTCATTAAAAAAAATCCCAGAATGCTCAATCAAGAGGGGTGGGGTTGACAAGCCCCATCCATTTCACTGTACCTTAGAAAAATTGCTATGGATGTTCCTGAAGAGCAGATGGCTGAGTGAACTGATCAGTTTGAATGCCTACCAGTATTTTGTTTCATAAAGCATGTAAAGCATGTACAAAATCACATACTGTAGTAATAAATATAATTATTATCTGGACTGATGGACTTCAGACCCTGGCTAAGTTCCATTAAGACATAACTTCTCCTCCAGCATCAATCTAAGCCTCAATCAGACTATGCAACAGGTTTCTGGACAATTCTGAAAGACTACTCAGGTGCTATACAGGCAATCCTCATTATTTGAGGGTTCTGCATTTGCAAATCTGCTTATCTGCGGAAATGCTTTTGTCACCCCAAAATCAGCCATTGTGGCGCTGTTGCATTTATTCACAGGCATGCGGAACAGCAAACCATTGGAATCGCCCAATGCACACATTCCCAGCTGAGGTTTCAGCATTTGCTAATTCGGTACTGTATTTGCAGCATTTTCACAGAACATAACTACCAAGAATAATGAGAATTGCCCAAGACACATGCTTATGTATGTCCAATTTCCATTCAGAATACATCACATTGTTTACATTCAAGCCCTACAATACAAAACTGCATATGTTCAGATCCCTTCAATGCAGGCAACTAAGGGATTTAAATCAGGCATTTCTCAAACTATATCCGATAAAGTCAGAAACAAATAATCACCAGTTTCCAGAAACAATCTGTTAGATTAGAAAATAAACCCAGAAGAGATAGTGATTTATCAGTGATAGTGATAGTGATTTGAGAGTAATTTGTCCTTTATATTTTGCAGTGAAAAATATCATGAATGATCTACAGCCATGCCTGGACAATGTTGTTGTTGTTGTTATTTTATCCCACCTTTTTTATACATACAATCCTCCTGCCTATTTTTCCCACAACAACCACCCTGTGAGGTGGGTTGGGCTGAGGGAGAGTGACTGGCCCAAAGTCACTAGCCAGCTTTCATGCATAAGGGAGGCCTAGAACTCACTGCCTCTTGGTTTCTAGGCCAGCACCTTCACCACTACACCAAACCAGAAGTATATACGGTAAGTATATTTCCCTTACATACTTACATACCTCCCTTACAGTGTTTGAACAGCAGCTTTACAAACTGGCGAGAACAGTGCTGTAATGATCGAGTTATCAAAATAAAATCATGCAGCAGATCAAGATACCAGCTTTGCTCCTCTGCTTGGCAACAGTAATCAGGGCAATGTTCATTTTCCAATGAGGTGTAGACTGTAACCTGTGAGCAACACCCCACTCCATTTTATTTTGGACAAAATGGCAAGTATATGAAAATGAATAGACACAAATGAGTAAAGAGTGACAATGACTGGTACGGTAAGGAACAAAAATTAATTAGGAGATCTAACACAACTTGGATTAAGCACCACAAATAATCACCAGTATATCAGTACAAGAATAACTGTCAGATCTACTGTTTTGTTAAGGATCACTATCCATAAGGCAATTTCACTCACCGGTTTTTTTACCATCCCCCCCCCAATACACAATAGTTGTGTATAAATATTGCTCCTTCATCTGGCTTGCATACAATGCACATGAGGGAGATCTTCAAAAGCGGCTATAACAACACATATAGATACCACAAGGCTTTATGTTGTTTTTAACTGAATAACTCTGCTGATACTATCAACCAGTACTGACTGTTCAACTGATCACAAGCATGGTTGAAGTGGCATATTTAAAGAAAGAATGTGAATGAGTATGTAAAGCATTGGATGCAGAATAAATTTGACTGCTTTACTTAACAGCAAAATCTCTTTATATAATCCAGGCCCAGCCAGCCTAGGCCAAACTTTGTGAAGCTAGCCTTTCTCACAGACATAAAGACCAACACTTACATACCAAGCTAAACTCAGTTCCACTTTACATATTTCTACCTTACACACATACAGGCTTCTCAAGAGACATTTTTCACAGGTGTCTACCCTTCTTCATATACACCCAGGAAGGCCAATTCGCACACCACTTCATGGAGGCTCATGCCTGTACATACCAAGCTAAACTCAGTTCCACTTTACATATTTCTACCTTACACACATACAGGCTTCTCAAGAGACATTTTTCACAGGTGTCTACCCTTCTTCATATACACCCAGGAAGGCCAATTCGCACACCACTTCATGGAGGCTCATGCCTGCAGGTTCTTCATGTACAAACCCTTCAAAAAGTTCACACAAGCTTCACTCAGCTGTCTAAACAGTTCCTACAAACTTCCCACAAATCCCAAAGCACTATTTCTCTCTCTCATTTGCTCAAGCCTGTACGTGTGTGTGATGCTGCCTTTCCTTCTCCCACCTTTGTTGTCAGCCGCAAGCTTCTTTGGTTTGGAGGCAGCCATCTTCTTCTTACAGAAGAGGAGGAGAATGTGCTAGTAACGGCCTTCCTCCACTGCTGAGTTGGTCCTCACCCCCGACCCGAGTTAGCAGGAAACTAACCAACAGTGGGAAATGTGCAGTCCCTACAGTATTGCCAATTCCTATCCTGCCACTATGATATCCTTCCCAAGTCACTGCAATCACCTCACTTCCCTCTAAAGCAGGGGGCGGAGGGGGCGGGGGGGCAAAGCCCAATAGATTGTACACGGCTTGAAGTTGCTTTTGGATGCTGTCACAAAAGGGTGGGAAATGCTATTTTAAGATTGCTACAATTAACACAACTTAAGGTTGTCTCACTCATGGGCTGAGGAAGAGGACAACATCATGGGGAGACCACAGAAACAAGACGTTGCTGGGGTATGAATGTGACACGAAGAAGTGCAAGAACTATGTCTGTATTAAAATGCAAATTGCCCTGACTCCAGGGCCTAGAAATCTCAGAGTGTTATACATATGCAAAGAATGGTCATAAATTCATGAAGGGCAGAAAATCTGAAATATCCTGGATATATTTTTAAGTGATCTAAACTAGAAGAAGAAAAAAGACGCATTCTCATTAGACAGAAGTATATCAATAATTTCCTAATTTTTCCCTAAGAATTGGCCATCTTATAGTACCCACTACATAGATGTACATACTTTGCCAAGCTTTATGGGATTGGGACAAATTTATGTATTTACTTAATAATGAAACCCTGTTTTATCTGTTTGACTTATATAAGCCTTTCCAAGCCTGTATAATAGAAGGTTGTTTTCAAGGGATTAATTGAAACCAGGTTCCTTTCTGTTGTATGTTTTCACCAATAGATGTTCTCTGTTTTCATATATATATATATATATATATATACACACACATACATACACACACATTCATACATATACACACACACACATAATTTTTATTGAAAGTTTTAACAGCAGTAATAAGAACTAATACAAACTAAAAGAGAGAACAAAAAGAAATAAAAGAAAAAACTAAAAGTGCAGTAAGAAAAAAGTAGAAGGAAACAGAAAAAAAAGAAAAAGATATAAAGAAAGATATAAGATATAAAGAAGTGGTTTCCGATATTCTTCACAGCAGTTATAAGTACAATTATATTTTAACCTCTCTCTCTAGTTACATCATGTCTCTCTTCTTTCTATAATCTAATCACCAAAAAATCACAAGTTCATTTTTTTCATTTGTA